AGTATTTCAAATGTTGCTGAGTATGTCAACAGAATTAATTAGAAATAAAAGGTTTTGAATATTTTGAATATCAGTTTGATCAACATTATACTTCAAAATACAAATGCCAATGTATTCATAAGGATAATTACAAATAAATTAGAAATAAAATATTCTGAAATCACTGAAATCAAAGGTTTTGGTCTGAAAAATGGATTCATATTTTCCAAACAGAATTTGACTTTTTAACTTTTAGTTGCTATCCACAAACGATATTTTCAAAATCTCAGCAATGCTGATGGGACAAAATCCTCAACTTTCTGCCCAGACTTAATACAACCTCATTTACCAACAAACATCACCCCCATGCAAGAAGTGAAGATGAAGGACACCACCCCTCCTAGAACAGGATGTCTCCAGACACTTTGCTAGACAGATTTTCCCATCAGTACATGACACCTCCTGTTACAGCCCATATGAACTGTCTAACAGAGGGTATTAACTGGAGCGGCCCGAGCTCCCCAGCATCCTGCCAGGTCCTGGGCAGAGCTGTTTACCCTATTTTACACCAGCTAGAGCACACATGTGATAGCTGGGATCTTCTCAATTCCTTTCATTCAATCTCTATTGTCTCTGACATGATTCATGCAGTAGGGCTACGGGGAAAAAATACAGAAATTATCTGGGGACGGTACCAGGTTGGAGAGTTACAAACTCATCAGCTCCTCGCAGTTGAAGAGTGGAGGAAGCAGAAAAAGTATGACTAACTGTTCTTGAATATACAGGAAACGTGAACCAGAAAAGGAGCTGTGTTACTGTGGCTGGGGAGTTCATAGATCTGTGATTCACAGCATTACAGAGCCCATTTGGCATGCAAAAAGAGAGGATGATGAAAGGAATATTTAGTCATGGAGAAAAAGCTAGACAGAACACATGAAGATGCTAACCCCTGGGAAACGGAGCATATTCAGGTGTGACCCACAGCCTGGAAAGGGGAATAAGGTCTTTTTTTTTCTTTATTTTTCTAAAATTCCTTCTTATTTTGATAGGTACTGTACTTGAAGGAGTGCCCTTCATCCCAGCCTCGTAAGAAAACCATGAACTCCAGTGCACTCTTCAAGCCTATCTCAACCCAAGAGGGTGGCACAATGTTCTTCAAGCTTTTGCTAAAACCAGACAGCCATATTCTCTCATGACCATTTTTTTTTTTTTTTTTTATTTCTCTCACTTTAGAAAGTACTATTAAAGGCAGGCAAAAGAATTAAAAAGGACATCTCAGCTACGCTGTTAGAGCGCACAGTGTACTACCCTCAGCACGTAATTGCTGAAATCATCACTGCTGAAGCACTCGCAGATAGATAGCGTTTCTGTTCAACTTTCACCTCCTTGAAAACAGTCGTATTCAAAGTAGGGATGAAGGAGAATGATTTGCCTTAGGGATCCCCTTGTCGACTCATGTGATTGCTGTTGAAAATGGTCTGGATCTAAAAGACCACAAAGGTGTTTGATGTTCTTCATATATCCTTCAGCAAAAGAACTGGGAGAACAGTCATTGCTCTTGTGAGTTTGCATTTTCAATAACACACATGAAACAAGCTATGCCCTGCCAGTTTGGAACAAGCTCTGTCCTGCCTTGATGTACCCATGCTGTGTCTCTTCTACTGGTGTGTGTGAAGAGGATGAGCAGGAAGGGGGAGAAATGACATTTGTAGGGGAGAAATCAGACTGGTGCTAGGGGGAGATGACAAGAGGAAGAAAAATGGAGAGGAAATGGACAGGCGGGCAGAAATAAGACACACCCCCAAGACAAAACAGAGGAAAAAATAATAAGATAAGAAGGGAGAAGGCCAGTGGAGCCAAAAAAAGCTCAAAAGACACAGATGAAGATGAAACTATGAACATAGAAATCAAGAAGGTAGGCACAAAGAGGAAGATAACAAAGGAAGAATAACGTAAAATGGAAGAAAAAGTTAAATTAATTCTCCCGTGGAAAAAGAGCTGAAAGAGAAACATGGGATAAATCAGACTGCTAAAATGGCAGAAAACAAACCAAAGTTGGACGACAGTAACACAAGCTGCATTTAATAGTGCTCATGGCACGGACCTCCCAACAGTTATTCGTTATGCTGTGCCCAGTGGTCACTGCGATACCGACGACGTCTGGCTCCAGAGCAGATCTCTGAGCAGCGATGGCCACAACTGTGACTGCCAACCCAGAGCCTCCCGAGCGGGAGGATGATCCCATAGGAAAATCTGTGGTAAAGCATGGAACTGAACATCAGTTTACTGTCTCCTTTAGGTCAAGACAGTCTTCTGCCTTTCTTTCTCTGCCGTGTTTGATGGATGAATCCCTCCTCCACCACTATCACTCACATCCAGCTTGGACACTAGACCAACCAATGGAAAAATGGGACAAGATCATTGTAAACAATTGAGTCTGCTGCCACCAGTAATTTTTCCAGCACAGAGGATGGCGTTCTTTCCCCACTGTGAATAAATGACTCCACATTGTTTTGCTGCCTTCCTGCAAGGTTAAGGACTACTGGACAATCTGGGAACATATACCCAAGTCATGGAATTAATTACAGTCAACTAGTGCAAATCGAAATGCAAATAAAAATAAAGGAAACGCCAGTATAAAATTTTTACAAAGATTTCACATTCACACAAGTGGCAAAAATGAGGGAAGGCGTCACTGGAAAAATGTGACAATTCATGGAACACTGTCGTATCACAGCGCTTACCATGGGTGTTTTTACCACATCCATTAAGGCTCTTAAACACTGATCTGAATCACAAGGCATCTCTGAGGCCCCGTGGTGTAGGCAATGCAAGTGATGGTACCCCGCAACAGTCCTCCAGGGTTGCTAAACCACCCGCTCACCCCGTAGGAACACACTGGAACGCACAAGTGATCTCATTGTTTTCGGCATCGCCGTTCATGTGATAACTATTCGCCGGAGCTTATCGGCACCTGAACCAAGAAAAGGTTTGGAGCTGAATGCTCAGCCCCCCCCTCCGGGTCCCACTGCTGTGCCTGTGTGCTTGGAAAGCAGGAACCACTGCTGCCCCCCCGGCACAAGTCAGAGCATCCATGCGGGAAAGAGCAGGCAAAATCAGCCAGAGTCTGTCATCCTTTATGGCTCGTCTTACACCAATAAAGTTGAAACGTAAAGGGCAGGGTTTGGCGCAAAAGCTGCAGGTAAATCTCACTGGTATATTATTATTTTTTACATCAGATTGGTCGTGTTCATTCTCAACCATAAATTTCCTAACTGAAACATTTCTGGTTCCTTTAAAATATGAGTTAATAATGATGAATCACAGGTAAGGATGATCCTAAATTAAAGAGGCACAGTACGAGGCTTTGCTATAATCAAGGAAACTACTGTTATCTAGGGACACAGACCCACCACATTTAATTTTGCATTCTGCACTTTATCCCAAAGAAATACTAATTACACTCCCCTTAGCCCACCTGTGTGGTGTCATCCAGCACATGCCCATCAGAAACAACGAATACATACATCAAGTGAAGAGTAAGGGTAATTTCCTGTGGTTGTTTTACAAGCAAGAGATTAAACTGCGACTACCCTGCAGAGTTTAAACAATGTGCTTGTAATAAAACTGGTGCCGTGGTATGCAATCAGAAGTCAAACAGAAAGTTTGACGTGCTTAATGCAGCATTCACATGTAAAATGTCTGCAGTGGAAACAGCCCAGCCCTCTAATTTCAGTCTTTGTTCCAAAATGAAACCTCGGGCCAGGTGCCTCTGAACACATGCTGAAGTTCCTGTCAAAGGACGGAGAGAGAATTTCTCCATGGAAATGATGCAAAATTCAGACTGGTTCCATGCAGGCAGAAACTCTCTGGAGTACGTCAGAAGACAGGCTCTGTTTGAGCCCGTTAGTAAGGGCATAATTGCCACACGTGACAGCATGGAGAAATTTTGAAATGTATCTACCTCAGTTATCCCACCTGTTCCCCAATTAACTACACGACTCCCCACGGTTCCTGTATGACACCAGGGACATTTACCACCTCATTTGACGAGTTCTTAGTGTTAAAAGCGTCCCACAGACATTCACCCACATTTTTCCTAAATGAACGCAGCTGGACAGGATACAGCCGTGCATTTTAACCCATCTTACTGGGTTGAAAAACCCAAGACGGCTGCACGCTTGGATCTCAGTGAGCGCTGGGGGAAATGAAGGTGGTGGGGGGGGGAGACACAGACAAGAGCTGGGGGTCCAGCACTTGCAGTGAACCCCCGGGCTGATGCGTGTGAGGGCGAGCAGGGATGACACAGCCCGGGGCTGGGAGGCAGGAGGAGGAAGCCGGGGAAGGGCTGTGAGGAAGGCCAAAGCAGGGGATTGGGGTGTCAGGAGTGGGGCAGGACAAGGCGGAGGGGAGGGAGGATGAGGAGGAGCCGCAGGGCAGAGCTGCCAGGGAGGAAGGAGCAGCAGGCAGAATGTGGGCTGGGCGAAGTGGAGAGGCAGCTGGGCAGGGGGGGACGGGGGGGAGCTGCCCCCCCCGAGCCAAGTCAGCATGGAGCTAACAGCCACAGGCATCTGTCTGCACCCATCTGAGGGCAGGATCAGGGCCTCTATGTATGCATGCACTTGAGGACAAAGCCTATTAGCATTCACCCGAGCCATTTTTAAACATCCCACTTATTGAGAGTCTCCTGATTGGGCAGCGACAAGTCCAGGCTCTGCACCGCAACCATCACCGCGGTATAACCATCATCAGAAAGGAAAGCAAGGTTTTCAAGGTTCAGAATAAAAGGCTCAATTCACAAGCTTAGAAATTATTTGTATCTTTGACTGAAGGCTGCAAGCTTTGTTCGAGCCTGAAAGATATTAAGCAACGGCTTGAGAATCACCGTTAATTAAAAAAAAAAAAAAAAAAAATAAAGGCAAGAAAACCCCCCGCACATGAAGTATTCAGTAACAATTCTCTCGGAGTTTAATCTGCCCACCCTTACTATAGATCAGTGCACACCAAAAATGGATCCGTACCTGCTTTGTAAGTCGTTCAGGTGCAATTTGCCTACGTAATGGGTGGCTGACGAGACAGTGATGATCCTAGCGTTGTGACTGTCCGTTCCTGATTGCTTCAGCGTATCCAAGAGGAGGTTCGTCAGCAGGAAGTGTCCCAAGTAGTTCAAGCCGAAGTGCTCCTCAAACCCATCCTCCGTCTTCCTTTCAGGGACCAGCATCACCCCAGCTGGATGAGACAGTAGAGATGAAACCTGTTGATTTGTTTCAGAGAAGCAGCGAGCTCAAAGGAGCACGGGTCTCCCGCTGCAGGGTGTAAACACGGCATTTAGAGCCACGAGTGAGTGGTGACGGCATGTGAAGTGTAAAGCCCACACCCATTGATTCCTGCTGAGAAAAATGTCAAAACCTCTCCTTCAATTCCTTTATCCAGAAATCAGGTAGGATGACTCTCCCCCTCCCTCCCTCCCTCCCTGCAGGACTGTGAGGATAAATGGGTTCATTTGTGAAAAATGTTTTGAAGACATTAAAAGTTAGAGTTAACCCATTGCTGGCGTGCCAGAATGCAATGCTGCAGATCGACAACGGAAACTAATATCTCTACAATAGGTGGGAGCTCGGTGATCCCAACAGCATTCCTTCCATCAAAGAGCTCAGAGCAGTGGAGACAAGACCAGGCTAAGCAACAGACCTGCTCTCCCAGATGGCTTTCTGCTGAGTCCTGACTGGAGTTTAAAGATCTGTTGAGTCTTCATCTGAAATCTGCAGCTTCTATCTCACTGGTGTGGGCGAGAAAAGATGGAGTAAATTTGCCCAATATATCTTAATTACTGTGCTTACAAGCAGCTGCATATTGAAATGAGTTTTTGAATGCTTATTTTGGCAATATTTTTGCATATATTTCTGCAAACCACAATTTTCAAACTCAGTGCCTAAAATAAGTATCCACATCCCTAACATGCAATGTTGATTTTAGCATCTTGCAGAGAATCCTGAGCTCATGCATAAATTATATCATGTACTGAGGCTGTGTGGAGGATAGCTATCCTGCTCAGTTAGAATGTGGATAAGAATGTTATAAATTATTCTTATTTTATTAAAATTTAATTATCATACAAGTGGACCTGACCTTTGTAATTTAAATGTAGATGGACGTGGCTCATGGAGAATAATGTTGTAGGCCATTTGTTTTCTCTCTAAAACACATGAATATGAAACAGCAGAAAGGCCACCTCTGCTCACAGACATGAGAGAGCGTTAGCTTAATCTTCATGCTACTTCATGTGTCCATTAAAAAGCCTTTAACATCCCATTTCTTGATGCCAGCGTGATTATGGCATATTAAATGACTGTTTTAAATTGCACATGCTGTGCATCTACACTACTCCTCCTTTGGGGAGCCCCGCCACCTGACAGTCCTGCTTCATGACTGCTGCTCAGGCTGAAGAGAAGGTATTTTCAGGATCTTCTTAGTACAGCCAAAACCCGTAGAGATTCATATGTGGCTGCCTGCTGCTTAATGGAGCAACTTGAGAAGCAGCATGAGGGGAAGAAATGACAAGAAGACAGAGCAACCAAAAGGTTTGGGCGTAACACAGCATACCTGCATACGGAGAACTTAAGAGTGAACATGAGCAATGGTGGCTGATGGTATGATGAAAGAAACACAGCACAAGTTACACGATGGGGCTCTACAAAAGCTCTGATTGGCACCTCTGTCATTACAGCCACCTACCCCGATCCCTCAGAACGACAGGAAAACCCAGCTGCCGGCTGTGGTTTCTCTGCATGTCAACTCTCAACTTTAACAACGGGAAGACACAAATTCGAGGGTGTCTGGTCAGGTGTCCCGTTGTATTCTCCTTCCTCCTCAGCAGCACTTACTCTGATGCATGGTGCAACTGCTCACAGAGCTGGAAACAGATTTCCATTTCCTCTGTAATCTGCATATGAGGCATATAATGACATCCAGAACGGTGGCTGGGAGTGAGCACCGGAGTGAAGGTTATGGACAGACATAAATGTGAGACAAGCCCCGCTGCAACTTTTTCATTTTTTCTGGGAAGAAGGAAAGGGTGGGAAAAAAAAAAAAAAAAATCTCCCAGACCAAGTCTCAGCCTGCTACAGTGCAAGTTTTAGCAGAGCCAGAGCTTAGCACGGGCTGTTGGAGGGGGGATGGAAACATTGCTGCATCTCTGAGCACCGATACAAGGGTGGTGGTACAAGGAAATGATTTGCATCTCCCTGATGCCCATCCTGGCCTCCAAAGCTCTGCCGCTTGGACAGGGCAGGAGAAAGCAGTTTGCAGAGGTCTGTTTGCAGCAACACTGGTAAAATGAAAGCCCAAGAAAAGGCAGCCAACATAAAACAGCCCTGGCACAGCAAAGCCAATGTGAGCTACAAATGCCGCTTCTGCATCTGCTTGGGGCTGCTGCAGGGCTCGCTGCCTGAGTCGGAGGGAGGGAGGGAGGGAGGAATTCGTCTGGAGAAAAGTGCTGTAGATGGCTGCTACAGCCCTTCAGCTCTGCAACACGACCAGCAGGCAAACCCGGGGAGGCTGTCACCGCTCACATCAGCCCCGAGGATGCCTGTGCTACAGCAACTGCCCCCTTGACCTCCGGAGAGGCGCGGGATTTCAAGAGCACACAGGGGCTTTGCCCTCCACCCCAATTAGTCACCACCATCTGTGCTGCACGTCCCGGAAACCAAAAACAATTCTGAGCTCAGGACAGGAGACAGAAAAAAATTTCACGGATGCAATGCACAACTGTTAAGATGCACGTTCCCGAAAATTATTTTGCTCATTCTTCAGAAGGTTCCTCCGAGTAGAAATTGTGGTCGAGTCCTTGAGCAGGCACATTCACCTCTGCTTGCATTTGTTGCTACTATAATTTCCTTTCTGTCTTCAAGAGCTGGTCAAATAATATGAATCCAAAAAACTTTGAAAGGCTTTTTTTTGAAAAGGCTCTTATCTTTGAGGTAGTTGATATCAAGGCTATCAAAAAATCTTGCCCTGCAATTTGAGGGCAGTTTCTCTTATTTGAGGAGAAGCCATTTTAATTCACTGAGAGCGAGCATACAAAGCAACACCCAACAGGCAACTGAACCTGGCTGCTTCTCTGACAAAAGGGAAAATCTTGTAAGTGTAGCAGCAAGCTCTCTTTTTTAAATTATTAACTACCTAACATTCCGTAGATACTAAAAGTGGCATGCTATTGATTTTCTTTTGTCCAGAAACGTCATCAGCTTTACTCAAGGGCCCCAAATGGTAACTCAAAGAATGAAAGCTGCTTCTATTTTTAATTCTTTCAATTAATCCAATACTCTCTGAACCATTAAAAAAATGTTTGGGGTTTTTTTAACATATACCTTAATTGTAAACTAAGAATGATTTTGTTTATTCTTCTGGTGTGGAAACCATACAACCCACTATCTTTCTGATTTTAATTATCAATAGTCAGTCTCCTCAGTTTTTTGGAAGGCGTGTGAAGTTTGAAGTGGCAGCACGTAGACCATTAATGTCAAACACCTCAGTGTTGATATAACTTTCTTATACGTTTTTCCCTCCGATTTAGCCGGATTGTTTCCAGAAGATTTATTTTTTTAAATGTCACTGATGCCAGCATGGCATTAGAAAATGAATTCATAAGCTGAACGTGAGCTTTTACTTTGCAATTGATTAGCTGTTATTGAAATATTCAGGCAAAAGACTGACAGTATGCATGCAGAAAACTGCCTAAATGACACATCAATGTGTGATCTTGCAGGATTAGAAATAAATTAGAATAAAGAAAATATTTTGCTGCATAACTTCGCTGAAAACCTGTGCTTCTTATAGGAATACATTCCAATGGGCTGCAGTTATGCATTTACTGTAATACGTTCAAATTATACACATTTTAATTAGCTATAATGAATAAAAAAGTTTCTATCCTTCCTTACTTTTATGACTAGGCAATAGTCATATTATTCTCTCAAAGAATGAATACACTTCAAGAGAACTGTCTTTGCGAACAGTACTTTATCATGATTTTCTATAAAAGTTTCTAATGAAACTCTTGGTTTGGGATCCATCAATTAATTGTTTTATGTGATTTTAAGAGCATAATGGATCTGATACTGCACACAGCAAAACCAAAAGTTTATGACAGTTGTAAATACTAAAGGCCAGGCGCATCGTAGTTTTATTGGATTATATAGGAGAATTTGTAGCATGTCTGCCTGTACTGCAGGTGATGGTAAACACTGCTGTAATTCCTGTACCTCCCACTGCAAAGACATCCTTCAGCCCCATTATAAAATATCTTTTAAGAGCTTTAAAAATACAAGTATTTCACTCATCTAGATTTATTTACAGTGAGCTACTCAGAGGATTTTAAAGGTAGTTCTCTCAATCTCACTAGAAAAGAAAGACTTAAAAATCTCTTTTTCACATGCCAAACAAAATGTGTTCCTTTCCAGCCAGGCTCACGGAAGAAGGTTTGGAGGCAATGCCCCCACATGCAAGCCCTTTTATCCCCAGCAACCCTAAGGCTGGGCAGACAATGCAAGAGGTCAGCCACATACACTTGCATGTAACAACTTCACAGCAGGGGGTGAACCTATATAATCACATTCACCCAATTCTTGCTATTTACAAGGAAGAGGTACGTACTGTACCAAAAAAAAAAAAATTCCCAAGGGGAAAAATTAATAGAGATACCAACTCCAGGTAAAAGCACAAAGCCATTTCTCCATACAGGCTTTGTACCAGTGTAGCTGATTCATTTAGCAGCATTTTCCATCCCATGAGTGCAGCCACACGAGGTGACCCACCGCACTTAACAGTGTCAAAACCGCTCTGCTCTGCACCCGCACACCAAAAAGATCTGTGGGTGGATCTATCTATGCATAAAATAATATAGCCCACTTCTCTCCTGAACAGGGACAGCTCTAGTGGAGTGAACATCTCAATAACCATCCAGCATCATCCCCTGGCTACGCTGCCTACACTAGATTGCTTGTTCTGCCTCCTTCAGTTGGGCTATGCTATCCCAGAGTATGCCTGTCCTGTGGATTTCTCCTGGCTAGTGAGCCATGAGAAGGTGCAATGCCTTACTAGAAGAATTGCCCTGAGAATTGCCTGCTGGAGACACAACTGTACCCACATAACTGCTTTTTGCATGCATGCCTCATCTGTGAGGTGAATTTACAGCAATGCTGAGACACACTGCTTGCTAAGCTACGTCC